CAATGGAGCCTGAGTGTCCCCGGCAGGAAGAAAGCTGACACATGGGTGAAAGGCAGCTCATGTCCCTCTGTGGTGGCCAGGGGGCTTTTGTCCTTCTCCTGCCATGCCGAGGGGCCGGAGCCCGGCGGTTCCCAGCCCATGCGGATGGAGAGCCCTTCCCTCCGCCCGGCCGGGATAGAGAGGGACCACGGGGCTTTCTCTTTAATGCAATGCTATGAATACCCAGGGTCTTTCTGCTCGCTGTTTAATGGATTTGAATGTGAAAAGGTGGTAGAATTGGGAGGAGGGGAAGGGGAGGGGGGAGGCCAGGCCTCTTTGTTCAGGGATGCTGCTCCAGCCTTGGATTTATTTAGCATTTGGAGGGCTCTGGGGTCTTTCTCTCCTCCCCAGCCACTGCAAAGGCTCGCTGCCTTTTCTGCCTCATGCTTATTAGCATAGCAGCTGCTCGAGAGAGGGGCTCGGCAAGAGAAAAGGACAGAGGCGTCCGGGAAATGAATAGGAGGGGAAAAAAATAGCTTAAAAAGACAGAGGCTTTGAATGAGGGGGAGCAGCGAGTGGAAAAGGGGATGGGGGCGGCTCGGAGCTGTCACCGCACTGTGAATGCGAGCAGGGTGCAGTGTGGGGACCTGCTGGCCAGGGGCTGTGCTGGGAGACCAGGGCCTCACACTGGTGCTGTGGGGAGAGGCCAGGGCTGATCTGTGCCCCCTGCTCATGGAGACACGCAGGGCAGTGGGAGCTGCACCAGCACCCTCCTGCACCCACAGCCCCTGAGAATGGGGTTCCCCTGTTGTGACCTCACTGAGACATCAGAGGGGTGAGCACACTGAGACATCAGAGGGGTGACCACACTAAGAGCTCCCCAGGCAAACAGGCAGAAAACCTGGCAGAGACCTGGGCACAATGAGCCTGTCTGTGCAGCTGCACCATGTGTACTAAACAACATTGCTGCTGGCATAGGTGAGAAGTGTGCTTAAAGCTGGAGAAAACAAGAACTGAGGCTGCAGTGCACTGCTGGGGTGGAGAGGAGACCACAGAGATGCTGTTTCCAGGCAGAGGATTTCCTTGGCTGTATAATTCATTAGAAGCCAGGAGTCTGCTCATTGTGCCCTTGTGTTTCAAACCATCAGTCCCAGGGTGCTGCTCAGGCCCCAGGTGAAGGCTCAGCCCCACAATGCCCTACCAACACATTGCCACCAGTTGGTGCCTGGATGATGCCCCCTCCGGTCATGTCCCCTCCTGTCAGTGCTGTGCATGGCTCAGCCCTGCCCTGTGCTGTGCGGACCCTCTGCTGCACGCCTGTGCCAGGGTCCCCATGTCCCCCACACCTGTGCCAGGGTCTCCATGTCCCCCACGCCTGTGCCAGGGTCCCCATGTCCCCCACGCCTGTGCCAGGGTCCCCATGTCCCCCATGCCTGTGCCAGGGCTGGCACTGATGGGGGTCAGCAGCTCCCACCCTGCTGCTGCTGAGTGCATCCTGCCCGGAATAAAGGTGAAGCTGGTTGGTGCTGGGCTGGATCAGATACAGGGAGCTCTGCCACCTTGCAAGGGTACTTCAGAGGCGCTGCTCTGCTTGGCCTGGCCTCAGACACTGCTCCCAGCCACAGAATGCTCTTGGGTTCAGGCTGAATGAGGAGTTTCCAGTTAAAATGGTTGTCCCAACCACCCCTGAGCCTGTCATCCACCCAGCTTTAACTCTGCTCGTTGTTCTACCCATCCCTCTGCCCATCCTCAGCCATGCTCTATTCCCCCATTCCTCCCAGCCACCCTCCATCCCTCCACCCAAGCAGCTTTCCACACCTCCGGACTCAAGCCCCTTCTTGAATATCTCCGTAGGGTCAGGAGGAGAAATCTGCTAATGTGAAGAAGCCAAAACCTACATTGCAGCCACAGCTCCGTGTCCCACCCAGTGTGAGACCCGGAGCTCACCCCTCCCTGGGTACCCCTCGCTGGGCACTGAAGGGATGGGTGCTGGTGGTGGCAGTGGGACGTGGCAGCTGAAGGGTTTCTGGAGGAGAAGGATGATGTTTCTCCTGTCCACACGATGGAGCAGTGTCATTCCCTGGGATGCTCGCTGCCACCAAGTAGAAATGAGAGGGGCTTGCATTCCCTGTGCTGATGCCTGGGAGCATCCCTGGGGGACACATCCTGCTGAGCATGGAGGTCTGCAGAGTGACAGTGATTTTAGTGCACGGGAATCCTGTACCCAGCCTCACAGCAGGATGTGAAGGTTGTGTGCATGCCCCAATGACTCTGCTGCAGGAACAGGGCAGCCAGCGCCAGCCCCAGCCTGGGAGCCTTTCCATCAGCTCCCAGCACCAAACGCTGAAGCACCTTTGGGTCAGAAGCAACATAGGTGGACACCATGGGCTGTCCTGTCCTGTCCAATGTGCTGTGACCCCGGTGCCTGCCCGGCCACCCCTCAGCCCCAACCCGCACCGGGGGGCTCCACGCTGGAGCAGGGGTGAAACCTGCAGCTGGAGAAGCGCCCATCCCATCCGGCTCCGCCCCAGCCCCGCACAGAGGTCGATTGTGATCCTCATTTTGGTACGAAAAGGTGACTGTGTTGGACCCGCAGCCTGCGGCATTGTCACCGTCACACAGCCGCCAACAAAGCGGCTATTTAAAATGTCCTCAGTTTGATTGCAGCCTGTCCCCTCCCGCTCGCCCGGCGTCGGCGCTTTCTCATTCATTACTCACTGTGTTAAGCTCCCTGAAATTCAAATCAAATCCCACCTCCTCCCCCCCATCCATATGCGTTGGTCGGTTCAGTGCCGCTGCCCGGGCTTGACGGATGAAGGGCAATAGAAGAGAAGACAAAGCTGTCGAACCTCGCCGGGCTGCGCTGACTTCCCATCACCCCTGCGGCCCGAGGGGAGCCCGATCCATCTGGTTTGGAGTCAGTAGCACAAACAAAAGCAAAAGACAATGGCAGGAAGCACTTGAAAGTTCAGATTCTTGCTTTGGTTTCTCTTGGAACAACAGCACCTACGTAATGCGGCCGGCGGACAATAACGCGCAGCCAGGGACATGCAAAAATGCCAGAAGAATGTGCTTACACCACCAAAGGAGCCAGTGGTTGTGTTTTACTGGAACAAAAATAGAAAAGGAAAGAAAGGAGGAAAAAAAACCCCAAGTCTTCGGAGTTCCTCGAGTTCTTGGACAGGGTTTCTGCACAAGGAGAGCTGTGGAGCGGGGTGGCCATGGGCCATGCAGGGACCCAGCACTGGGACCATCGCATGTGGGAGCTGGGGGACACAGGGTGATTTGTATTCACCAGCCAGCCCATGTCCCCGCAGAGGGGCTGTCGGAGGCCCCAGTGGTGCAGAGAGGGGCTGTGTGCAGGAATGCAGCTTTCCCTTGAAAAAACCCATCCTTGAGGTAGCAGCTGGAGCCCGGGGTTGGTGAAGGGCGAGAGGCCGCCGGGCTGAGCCCAGCTCAGTGGCACCCCAAAGCAGGCATCTGGATGATGTATCCTGCAGCATCCTGAGCCTGGGGCAGGGGACGGGGGAGGCTGCACCCACAGGTAAAACCCAGCAGCACTGCGATGGTGGGAGCCTTGGTGCCATCACCAGTGCTCAAGTGGGACAAAACCCAATGCACACATGTCCCACAGTGAGCAGCTACTGCAGGACCCTGGGTGATGGACCCTCAGGACCACCAGTGTTTGTGAAGGATGGTTTTGGCATCATCGGCTTTTTCCTAGTAAATCCAGGCAGTGACTCGTGCCCATCTTTCCCATGCTGGCAGGAGGTGGCATGGCTCTGGGCACATTGGGATGGAGGTTGGCCAAGCCTGGTAAGGAAAGCCTTTAATTCATGTTTCCTCCACACTGCCGTGGGGGATACCCCTCTTGGCATCCCTGGGAATCCACACCCCAGAGCCAAATCAAGCATGGCACAAATTTCCCAGGGATTCCAGTATTCCCAGAGGTGGCAAAATTATTGATACAGAGAAAGCCCCATGTCCAAACCTCACACTGCTGCCAGTGTGGGAGCCCTGCCTGCATCCTGCCTTCAAAGCCCCGGCTGCAGGCAGGGCTCAGCCAGCACAGGCTCAGGGCTGCCTCTGCTCTTCCCACTTCCCGAAGCAGCCGGATCCGGCCTGGAAAGCCTCCAGCAGTGCAGGGCTCAGACCACTTTTGGGCACCAGCTTGCTCCAAGCCACACAAGAGAATGGAGATGCCTTTAGGGATGGAGAGCTCATGCTGACCCTCAACCCATGCCCCTTCCAGGAGATGGCTGAAGCCACCATTAGTCTGAAAGCAGCTTCTTCCTCAGAGCCCAAGGACTTAGAAGCAAGGAGCCTGGGCAGGTTTGCAGGGAGCCATGGGGTGCTCAGCCAGAAAGGCTGGGGCTGCAGACTCAAATGTGACCACAGTCTTGGTCCATGGGGAGCTCCCATCTTACTCCCTGAGGGAAGCAGGTGCTTTAGGAACATCTCAAACACACTGTGACAGCCCCAGCCCAGGGTTTGGTCCAAGCCACCACACCTCCACCAGCCTGTGGGATGGGGTAAACCAGGACAATCCCCAGAGCCTCAGGGAGCTTCCTGCAGCCCATAAGCTGCACACTCCAGTCCCCCAGATCTACCCTAACCATCACCCTTGGGGATGCATTTAACCCCAGAGGAACCGCAGATACATCAGTATTTTTGACAAGGGCCTGTAGGGACAGGCCAAGGGGAATGGCTTGAACCTGCCAGAGGGGAGACTGAGCTGAGCTCTTAGGCAGAAGCTCTTCCCTGTGAGGGTGCTGAGGCGCTGGCACAGGGTGCCCAGAGAAGCTGTGGCTGCCCCATCCCTGGCAGTGCTCAAGGCCAGGTTGGACACAGGGGCTTGGAGCAAGCTGCTCCAGTGGAAGGGGTCCCTGCCTGTGGCAGGGGTTGGAGCTGGAGGAGCTTTAAGGTCCCTTCCAACACAAACCAGGCTGGGGTTCTGTGATTTGGCACCAAACCAGGGACCCCCCCCATCACCCCCCATGGGAAGGAACAAACAAATAAAGTCTTTTTCATTTTTTTATAAAAAGATCAATGAAAAATTTATTTATAAATTTCGCACTCTGGGGCTACACGTCTCTATCATACACTCAGGAATATGCTGTACTGTACAGACTTTATCCAGTTAGAAATGATCATATAGTGACCCACATACAGCTTCAATATAAGCCTAAAAATCCTTAACATTAATTAACATAATTAAAAAAGGTATTCGCATCTAAAGGAAAATCTACAGAAAAACTCCTTTCTGGAGCAATCTGTGCATCAGCTTCAATGTCTGCTTATTCCACTGACATTAGCAATATATTCTTCTTACAAAAATAATAATAAGATGACTGCTGGAAGGCACCAGTCATGCCCGAAGGAGCCTCCCCCACCTGCCTCTTTCCTTGCTTTATCTTGTACTCCCCGTTTTGGCGTGAAGGGTCAGCAGCACGATGAGCCAACAAGGGGGGGCGGGGGGGACCCTCATTTCAATTTGAATCAATCTGCATCCCTTTTATTTCTCAGGATCAAGAGAGACGAGGGGTGGGGGGGGTGGGGGTTGCATAGAAAATTGAAACTCCAGGGACTAGGAAGGGCAGCAGCTTTTCAGTAAAATACAACAGGGATGTAAAAATACATCAACTCACAATTTCAGAGCAAACCCCCGTCCCCGATGTACAGACTCCCCAAATCTCAGTGTGTCCAAAGCTCCAGGAGGCTGGAAAGGAACAATACTTTTCTTCAACGACTCACCCAGCAATTCACACAGGAGATTCACAGTCTCAATAGGTATTTTATAAAAATATAAATATGGGTTACATCATGTTGTCTTTACAACACTGGACAGAGCTCCCTTTAGACTGGGTTTATAACCAAGGCTTCTCTTTAAAAACTCCATCTAGAACTTGGCTTTACAATACACTTTTAATACCATGTCATAAATGTTATGACATTTCCTTGTGGCAAATCCATTTAGTCAAAATAAAAAACAAAAAATAATATAAATGTGCAACCATCTGGTAACGACGACAAAACCTTGCTAGAAAAGATCTTGTTCCCACCCCGTCACTGTCACACAGAAGCACCAGGGGAGGTGCTGGACACCCCCTTCCATGCTCACAGAGAAGACTTGGGCCAAGCAGTTCCTTGGGAATGGCAGCATCGGCAGCAGGCGCTTGCGACAGGGCTGCTTCTATTCCGCTTCTTGAAGTCTGGAGCTTTGAAAAGAATCATCTCAAAGAGTTGAAGTGGAGAAAAACCAAAACCAAACTGCAGTGAACCCACCGGAGACAAAGCGGGATATTCAGTGCAATGGGAAATCATCATGGCAGACTCAAGTGTTTTAGTTTTAAGACTAGAACAACAACAACAAGAAGGCGTATTTCCCAAACCGTATTTCTGAAACACTCACCACCAGCTTCCAACAAAACCAGGCTCACAGTCTTCACCCACAAATATATACAGACATGATAAATAGTTAAGACACAACCCAAATAAACCAGCAGGTAACTATTTGCCTTTTTTAATGGGAATGGCTGGGATGCAGGGAGCGAGAGAGGGAGGAGCGGGGAGGCGACAGTGAGACGGATGGCTTTAGTGCAGATGGACAGGGCTGAAGGACCAGCGGGAGAGAGGAGACTTCGGAAATCTTCCGCATTTTCCAAATGGATGTTCTTGTGCCATAGCAATAAAAAGCAGCATTTGCGACTATACGTGCAGTCACTTCCGAACGCGACTTCGGGTGGCTTCCTCTTCCTCCCTTTCTTTTATAAATATATATGGAGATATATATCATATAAAAGACGGGTGAATCTACAGACATCAAAGGAGTCGTTCTGCATTGAGAAGTGTTATCCAAGTTTCACCAAAAGAAAAAAATAATAAAATTCCCAAACTATTTTCAGTAGTTTTCCGGCATCTCTCCAGGCAGCAGAGAGCGCTCGCGGCCCTTCCTGTGCAAAAGCAGCTCCTCTGCCTCCAGAGTTTATTCACTTCTTTAAAAGAAACACAAAAACACAAGTCCAGGATTTGCTAATCCTCCTTTACTCATAAAACCAGAAGGATTCAATGTCTTTTCCTGGGATCTCACGTGTGCTAAACGGATTCAAGGTGGGTGAGGACACAGATTCTCTTCAGACACCCATAAAAAAAAAAAAGAAACAAAAAGAACCAGAGGAGAAAACCCAACGCAAAATACAACAAAACAAGAGCAGTTGGGGCGAGAAAACCGTGTCGGTCGTATTCCAATGGAGTCGCCTTGGGGAAGAGACAAAAATCAGTGGTGGGAAAACACTGGGAGCTTCCTGGAGGAGGAAGGTTTTCCCACTTTTCCTTGCCGGGAAGGGCTGCCGGGAACCCGCAGCCCATGACGGGCCCTCGGGGGGACCGGGCACCGGGACAGGGGAGTGAGGGGGGTTTTGGGGAGCGTTGAAATGAATTCGCTTCTGAGCCAGATACTTCAGGTCGGCGGGATGAGGCCAAGGGGAGCGGGGAGGGAGGATTAAATATTAGCGGGGAGGGGACGGGGGAGCCCTTAAAGCATCTGCCCAGATGTCAAACTGAAACCGTGAATACTGTGAGTGCAGCCGAGGTAGATGGAGGAGAAAAAAACAAACGTATTACAGTAGGAAAACAACCCTTGGAAGGAAAACAACAACGAAACAACTTTCGAAGCAGGCGAACGGCGGCGCTTTGCGGGGGGGGCCCGGGTCTTCGCCAAATAAACCCCGCGCGGGGCCGGGAGCAGCTTTGGCGGCCGGGTGACGGGAGGAGGGAGGGGGGGTGGCCCCGGCATCACCGGGCACCGGCGGAGTATTTGGCCTTGGTGATCAGGTAGAGGACGATGTCCTGGTGGCCCCCGAAGGCGGCGATGTGCAGCGCGCTCCAGCCGTCCCGGTTGGCCAGGCGAATGTCGGCACCGAACTTGACGAGGAGCTTGACGAGCTCCAGGTTGCCGTCGATGACGGACTGGTGCAGCGCCGTCTGCCCCTCGGGCCCGAAGGAGTTGACGTTGAACTCGCAGTTCGTCATGTTCTGCAGCAGCGACTGCAGCTCCTTCGTGTTCCCGCGCCGCACCGCCTCCTGGAACACGCGCTGGCTCGGCGGCGGCGCCGCGCACGGGGACACCTCGCTCTGGCTCATGCCGCCGCCTCCCGCCCGCCGCCCCGCAGGGACGGCGCAGCCTCCGCCCGCGCGGGCATGCGGTGGGGCTGCGGTGGGGCTGTGGGGCTGTTGCGGGCGCTGCTGGTGCTGGTGCTGCTGTTGCTGCTGGTGGTGATGCTGGTGCTGGTGCTGGTACCGGCGCGCAGCGCTCGGGCCCCGCCGCCGAACCCCTCCGGTCCCGTCCCGCCGCACCGCTCCCGCTGCCGCCGCCGGCCCCGCGCCGCGCCTTTTACCCGCCCTTTTATTAGCATAACAATGTCACGGTCGTGACGTCAGCAAGAGGGCGGGGCGCCGCACAGCGCGCCCATTGGAACCGCCGGGAGGGGAGACACGCCCCTCCCCCCCTCCGCTGTGAGCTACGCGGGAGGGGGCGGTGGGGGGCGCTCCCGGCTCGGCTCGGCTCGGCTCGGCTCGGCTCGGCTCGGCCCGACTCGGCTCGGTCAGGCCCGGCCCGTTTCGACTCGGGCCGGAGTCCGGCTCGGCCCGGCTCGGCTCAGCTCGGCTCCACTCGATTCGGGTCGGAGCCCGGCTCGGCTCGGCTCGACCGGGCCAAGCCCCAGCCCGACTCGGCGCGGTGGCCGCAGGCAGGGGGCACTACCACCCAGGCCGCGCCTCCCGCAGCGCTGCGCTGGAACGGGCAGAGCCCGTCCCTAACCGGGACCCCTCCTGGACCCCGCCGGCCCCGCGGGGGCTGCGGGTTTGGGTCCCCGTGAGCAAACCGGGACAGGCCCCCGGCCGCGTGGGACGGCGGGCTCCAGGCGCAGACTGGGGGGGGTGGTCGCACGGGGTTTCGGGGGTACACGGGTGGGGGTTGGTGTGGGGGCACCCACACAGCCCTGCAGAGGCTCAGTTCGGTCACACGGGGCTTATCCGGCGCGGGATCCTCCGCCCGCAGCCAGCCAGAACCCCGGTGTGGGAGCGCCGGGCTATGCTGGCACCGCGGGCAGCCGGGAGAAGGGAAACGCAGCCCAGTGACCGAGGGCTGTCCGCGGCGCCCGTTTGGCCTCGGGGGGCAAACGGCGAAGGCGGGGGAGGATGCGGCATTTGGCCGGCCGGAGCGGAACGGGAGGTGCGGGAAGAAAGGAATAAGCGTGTTGTAAAGCGGGGGCAGAGCTGCTGTCACCTGCCCGCGCCCACTCGTCCGTTTGGGGACAGAAAGGGAGGAATTGGCCAATTGCTCAGTTCAGACTCAGGCGATGAAAGACACCGCCTTGGAGCCTCCCGTGGTGTCTTCCGTGGTTTGGATAATCCTGTGTCCATCAGGATGGGCAGCGGCCCCCACTGGGTCCTGCTCCTTTGCTGGGGCGGTCAGACCAGCCCGATCCTGGCTGTAAGGTGCTGTGTGAAGGAGCTCCAGTTTCTCCTCCTGTAAGGGTCTGCTTCTCTTAAGTTTATTTCTGCAGCTGGTTTGTCCCATCCCCATGCCATCACAGAATCAACCAGGTTGGAAAAGACATTTAAGCTCCTCAAGTCCAACCACTCCCATCACTGCCAAGACCACCACTAACCCATGGCACTGAGGGCCTTGTCTCCATGGTGTGTGAACACTTCCAGGGACGATGTCTGCAGCCCTCCCCTGGGCAGCCTGTTCTAATGTCTGACCTTATCCCCTTCTCCATTCCTATCCTATACCCATCTCCACACCCATCCCCATGTCCATGCCTACCTCCCTGTCTCCATCCCATCTCTGTCTCCACCCTCATTCCGCGTTCATCCCCATCCACTCCCTGTTCATCCTACTTCCATGCCCATCACCACCTCTTCCCAGTACCCATCCTATCCCAACCCCTATCCCATCCCCATCTACCCCTGACTGGTGTCCGTATATCTCCCCATTTTGCTTCCCACTGCCAGAGCACTTCCATCACATCTTTCTAACGTGAACATGTCAAGCTACATCATCCTAATGGAAAAGGGCAAATCAGGCTGCAGCCATGGACAGAGGCTTGTTTTCCCATCCTTTCCTGGTGTCCTGTGTGCATTCAGCTTCTCCCAGGTTAAACTGGATGTGAGGCAGAAGCTCTTCCCTGTGAGGGTGCCCAGAGAAGCTGTGGCTGCCTCATCCCTGGCAGTGTTCAAAGCCAGGTTGGACACAGGGGCTTGGAGCAAGCTGCTCCAGTGGAAGGTGTCCCTCTCCATGGCAGGAGTTGGAATGAACTGTGTGAGCTTTAAGGTTCCTTCCAACCCAAACCAGGCTCGGGTACCATAATCCCAATATCACTGAGGTATTGAGCTCCCCGGCACAGGGCACAGAGGTGAGTTCAGGCGTCAGGCTCCACGTCAGAACCAGGTTTGACCACAGAAGCATTCCCCCTGGCCTGTCTCATCCCCCTGAGGGCCGCGTCCTGGGCAGGAGGTGGTGGCTTTGCCCCCATCACCTGGGCTGTGCTGGCACTGGGGGACACTGGTGGCAATTCCTGCCCTCCTTGCCCGCTGCTGTCCTGACGAGGTGAACGGTGGAGCGCACCATGACTCATGGTGACTCACGGGGAATTGCAGTTGTGCCCAGGGGTCTGGCACAGCCCAGAGCACCAAGAGCCACAGAACAGCCTCTAGCTGGGGAGTGCTGCAGGCATGGCAGTGACCCTGCAAAAACATCATGGCAAAGCTGGCCAAGGGGAAGCTGCATAGGATCACAGAGTCAGAGACTGGTTTGGATTGTAAGGGACCTTAAAGCTCATTCAGTTCCAACCCCTGCCATGGGCAGGGACCCCTTCCACTGGAGCAGCTTGCTCCAAGCCCCTGTGTCCAACCTGGCCTTGAACACTGCCAGGGATGGGGCAGCCACAGCTTCTCTGGGCACCCTGTGCCAGCGTGTGGCAGCTCTGCCTGAGCTTGCTGGTGTGGTGGTTGCAGTGGCCTGGGTGCCTTTCCGCTGCTAAATATCCCGGGACGGCTGATGTGATGCATTTACAGGCTGTATCCTGGGAGGTGTCGATCCCTCTCAGAGACCCGTGGGAGAGTGGGAATTGCTCACACCTCCCCGGTCTGGGGCTCGGCCAGTTACATCCTCGCAAGCAAATCTGCGTTTGCCAGTGACACTGGTGAGAAAAGCCAAGAGCCCGGGCAGGGACCCAGCCATGCAAATGTTCAGGGCTGGCAGGTGGGGGCAGGACTCGGCCTGGGAACGGCGCCAGAGAGGAGGAAAACAGCAAAAAACAACCCAGGAAAAAAATAAAGAAAAGGAAACGAAACCGGCCCTTTTGCAATCCTGCATCTCAGCTCCGGTTTGCTCCCGGCTCCGGAGCAGGAGCGGGGCCGATGCGGGGTGACGGCCGCGCCAGGTCCCCGCACAGCACCGGCGAGGGGCTGCGGTGGGCACTGGGAGGCCCCTTTCCTCCTCTCCCCGCTCACTCAATGGGGTCCCCCAAAACCAGGAGCGTCCCCCCCAGTGATTCGTCTGCTCCCCTCCGGGAAGCCGCGGCCGGGCGAGCTCCAGCGGTTGGAGGCGGGAGCGGGCCCCGGCGTTGCGGGGCCGGAGCGGGCTCTGAGGCTCCATCCGCGGCACAAACCTGCCCCTCGAGAGAGCGCGCTCCCCGCAGCTCGGCAGAGCCCGGGGGCGGGAGGAGGAGCGGCGGCGGGGCCGCAGCCACCCCGCGCTGGGCGCGTTGTGCCGGGCACGTCGCACCCACTCCCAACAAAGCCAAGCGGGCATTGCCCGCGCTCCGGATGAGGCAGCGAGAGCCCAACCACCCCCGGAGGCCTCCTCCTCGGGAGCCGGGAGCGGGGGGACGGATGCGGGGCCGGCGGGAGGGGGCGTGCCCCCACTTAATTCATTAGGATGTGTCGGGGAGCGTGGGAAAGACGGGAGCGATTCTTCCCAGCGCTGAGCCCCAGCGAAGGCGCGCGCAGAGCGACCTGCCCGCGCCGCTCCCCTCCCGCAGGAAGCGCCGAGGTTTCCTCTGCCGCTGGCCCCGCTTGCGCTCCGCCTGCGGCTCCCGGGCACAGCGGGTGCCAGAGCCCCCGGGGGTAACGTGGGGCTTGGCCCGGCCCCGGGGGTGCAGCGGGGAAGGGAGCCCGTGCGGGGCGTGGGTGCGAGCAGGGCTCCTGGTGCAGACCCGTGCTTGGATCCGTGTGGAGATCTTCACCTCTGGAGGGGGAGCTCTGCCCCAGGGAGCTGCTGCTGGCAAGGGGGCAGCGGGGAAGGGGCTGCGGGTGTGGGTGTGTGTTTCAGGAGAAAACCTTCCTCTGTGCTGCCTGTGAGCTGCAGTGCTTACAGCGGGGCATAAGCAGGGGCACAGCGATGGGATGAGCCTCCTGCTCTCCCCATGGACACATCACACCCCGTGAGCACCCAGGCAGTGTCCTGGGTGGGCTGGGATTTGTAAGAGAAACCCCGTGCTTGTGTGGTGGGGACACGTGTGAGGGGGCCCCGTGTCCTCTGTAGGGAGCAGAGCTCCCATGGGTGGTTCAGGGAAGCCCTGGGGATGAGGGAAGGCTCCAGGATCCTCCATCCTCCTGGGACACCCACACTGCAGGGGCCACCATGGGAATGTGGGCTGGGGACTGCCACTTCCCACAGGCGCCACCATGGGTGATGCTTTGCGTGTTCCTCCCCTCCCAGCCTGTGACAAGCGGGATTTAAAACCTGAGCGAGTTCCAAACATGGCTATAACCCTGTGCGTGGCCGTTGTCCTTGGGGCAGGCTTGGGCAGGGTCACCACTGCCCGCCTGGCCTCTGGGCTGGAGGATCCCAGGTGCTGCAGGGGCTGCAGTGACGCAGCTGGGCTGTGCGTGTTGGGTGGTCGCACCTCAGCTCAGCCTCTGACCATTCCAGTGTCCTGTCTTATCAGTCCTTATCCTGCTGGAAATGCTGCAGCCCTTCTGACGTAAACCACAGCCTCTGTGTCTGATAGTGAGAATCATAGAACCCCAGACTGGTTTGGGTTGAAGGCACCTGAAAGCTCCTCCAGTTCCAACCCCTGCCACGGGCAGGGACACCTTCCACTGGAGCAGCTTGCTCCAAGCCCCTGTGTCCAACCTGGCCTTGAACACTGCCAGGGATGGGGCATCCCCATGTCCATGGAGAAAACGCGGTTTGCACAAGAGGCCACCAACTGGGACACTGTTGGAGC